CAGACACCAGCTACAGTCTGGCAGAGGACCTGCATCCAGCCTCGCTGGCATCCTGACCTCAGACTTCTAGCCTCCAGAACGGAGAGAGAAAGGTCTGTTTATAAAATCACCTAGTCCTTGGTCTGCGGTATTCTGTAGTGGCAGCCCAAGTGGACTAAGGCATCCTCTTTAAAGCCTATGTCCCTGCCAATGTCCCCTCCACTTCTTCCCCTCCTCTTCTCAGTTCCTCGATCATTTCTGCACTTGCTTTTGCCAAATCGGTAGCCCTCCAACGTTCTGCTCTACTGACCCTCCATCTGGTCTTCACCCACATCCACAGACTAGATCCTTCCCCAGCTGTTACACCGAAGCTCTAACTTGAGGGCCTCCCTCCCAATCTGGGACCACGGAGTCAGCACAGCACACTCAGCTGTGCACGGAAGCCTCCCCAGTGGGTCTGTTCATCTGCTCCTGATGCTTTGAAAACCCGGTCCTGAGTCCCTCCCAGACCCTCAACTACTTCTATGCTCCAGCACTAAGCCTCGCTGTGAAGCCTCCCCACTGTCCTAACCCCACCGGCCAGTTTCCGCGTCCGTCTCCCCCTCTACCCTGTAAGGTCTGGGAGCCCGAGGGCCGCGTCTTCCTTGTCCACTGTCAGACTGTGGGCCACTCACTACACACGGCTGCATGGCTGCAGGCCAGCCCCATGCTTCGCCCTCCGAGCTGAGCACCCTGGCACCAGCCTGCAGCACCCCACTGGCAGGAACGCCTTTCTAATTTGGACAAAGCCAAGCCATGTGGCTGAGGAAGCTGCCACTGCCCACAGCAGAGAGAACCTTCTTTTGTTTGTACAAGCAGAGAGAACCCCTACCGAATTGGGGGGTAGCACTAGTCATGCTGACCACAGCACCCAGCGTGTATTAGATGCCCAAGTATTGGCTCAAAGACAAACTAACCGAGCTGATTGCAAATTCCTGTTGTCAGCCGAGCCTTCACTGTACTTCCATGGCCTTTCATTTTGAGATGACCGTCCCTGTGTCTCCCCAGAAAGTGGTTTGCAGGTCCATCTCGACTCAGCTTCCTCATCCCACTCTTGCAGCCTGGATATCAGGAGACATCCTTTAGAAAAGATGCCAAGAAAAAGAGGAAAACTCCTCCTCCTCCTGTTTCCATTCTTTCCAACCTGAAGAGGACCAGAGGTGCCCTGCTTCTCTGCCAATCCTGCACCCATTCCCTGGCTCCATTAACTATCTCCATCTTCATCTGTATGTTGAAGCTCTCCCTCATGGAGTCATCTCTAGCCCACAAGGCTCAATTCCCTCCAGGATCAGAAGAAGATCCACCCATACAGCCTCCCATTTTTTTTTTTTTAAAGATTTTTTTATTTATTTGACACAGAGAGAGAGAGAGAGAGAGAGAGAGCACACAAGCAGGGGGAGTGGCAAGCAGAGGGAGAGGGAGAAGCAGGCTCCCCACTGAGCAGGGAGCCCGATGTGGGGCTCGATCCCAGGACCCTGGGATCATGACCTGAGCCGAAGGCAGACGCTTAACTGACTGAGCCACCCAGGTGCCCCATACAGACTCCCATTTTGATGTTAGGCATTCATTCTCCACTCATCTTACATGCCAATGTTAGAAGTTAGGAAGAAAATAAAACCGGGTAACTGAAGAGTGACCAGGGTGGAGATGGAGGGCTATCTGTAAATACAGGTCAAGGAATCCTTTATGTGGATGTGACCTAAGGAATGGAAAAGGAATGAGACATGCAAGGATCAGGGAGAAGGGTATTGCCAAAGAGCCACTGCATCAAGTGCAAAGGCCCTGAATTCAGCGGGAGTAAGCTAGGGAAATGGGTTAAGGAAAAAACAAAGCAGGGGGGAAGGGTGGAACGCCCAGGTGGCTCAGTTGGTGAACTGTCTGCCTTCGGCTCAGGTCATGATCCCAGAGTCCTGGGATTGAGCCCCACATCAGGCTCCCTGCTCTGCAGGGAGTCTGCTTCTCCCTCTGCCTCCCACTCCCCCGTTTGTGCTCTCTGACAAATAAAATCTTAAAAAGAAAAATAAAGAAAGAAAGAAAAGGCCAGGATGGCTGAAGCTCAGTAAGGAAGAGAAAGGGAAGAAAAAGGATTGTTTGATGCCTTTCTATCTTCCCTGCAGTAGGTACACGCTCCATGAAAAAAGATACAAACTCAGCACACAGCACACCTCCTTGGATATAGTATGGTCAGTAAGTGAATACAAGAATACATGCGTGCACACTCAACAACTATCACCTCCAGAAGAAAATCGAATCATACTCCCCAGCACAGCATTCAAGGCTCTTCACCCAGCCCATTCCCAGCAAGCTCTCGAGTCCAGTCACAGTCGTACCCAGAGTTCCTTCACCATTTCCTGTACTTTCCTGCTCCCACCTCTTTGACACAAGCTGGACCTCCTGCTGGGGATTCCCTGTCACCTCCTCCTATCAAAAATCTTACTCCTGCTTCAAGGTCTAAGACTCAAAAGCCCTCTGATCTGGTGCCCTGAATAGAATTTTCTCTTTCTTGGGGCTCCCAGAACTTTGCTCATCCTTTCATTAGAGGCCTCAATCCCCTTTTAAATCCAGAACTTATCCTCCATAACCCATGAGAGCTTCAGGTCACTGAAGACAGTGATTATCTTCTCTGGTGAGGCAAAGAGAAGACCGTCCACTCAGCACGTAGGAAATGTCCAAAGGGCACCACTTCCTACCATTGTTAACCCAACTGAGTGAGTCAGACCCTTGAGCCACATCCTACAATTTTCTGTCAGAAGTTTTTGTATTTCTCAACCTAACCCAATACCATAAATAAATGGCCAATTCTCAGAAATTATTTTCCTTTTATTTCTTCCAAATCTCAGGGGAAAACCTGTCAAGAAAGCTCTGGAAATGGCGCAATCAGATGTCTCAAGAGGCAGCCCTATAAGTATGAACCTACCAAGAGGATGTAAAATGCAGGAGGTTGGGGCCCAGCTGAAGCAGGATCTCACGCCTTGTCAGTGGGTTAACGTGGCTCCCCCAGGGCCTCCCCTCACGCTGTCATCCAGGGCAAAGCCAGGGACAGCATGCACAGGGTAGAAAGCCAGGGGACAGCTTACCTCACTGGCATCCCAAAGAAACACCAGACCTAGAAGGGTGCCAGGAGCAGAGGCGGCGTGAGAAGGTAGTCACACTTTACAACCCTCACCTGCAGAGCTCCCTCTCAAGTGCGCCATGACCACCACAACCACGTGTCTCTCTGAACATCAAACCCCCCAGCGCATCTTGATCTGGAGAAAGTACACACACAGACATCTTCAAAGGTTTCCCTTATTTCACACACTCACATTTTGAGGCAGCTTTCATTTGTGAATATTTTTGTATCTCCATCCTACCCGATTCTCTTTCTCATAGATCCATGAACTTGAAATATGCAAATTTCATTAAAGCACCACTTATGCAAATCAGATCACAGTGAAAATAGAAAACAAACCTACTCCACAAGTTTAAGGGGCAAAATGACCCCTAGAATCCCACAGGAAGGGACCGTGACCTCCAGCACAGGAGACACAGTGCAAGATTATGAGGTTAGGAGCCTGACGGATGGGACAGATTTATTCTCCTGCCAAATGCCGGCCTGTGGTCTTAGAGGAGTCATTCAACTTTTAAGGCTAAATTGCCATATTTGTACAATGGTCGAACGTGTGGGGCTGCTGTAAGGATTTGGAGGTAGTATCTGTGAAGTCCCTAGAACAGTAACATTTACCAGAGAGTCGGTAAACAGCTGCTAATATGGCGTAAGTATTATTTCTACGTCTAATGGGACATCTTACCGATGAGGCTGGGTCCTCAGAGATGAGTGGGAGTACAGAGGGCCCATACCTTGGCCCCAATTCCAAATGCATTCCATCATTCCCACAGGGACACTCAAGTCTGTCAACCCACTAGATCCTAAAGCAGCTCAAAATATATAATTATACAAGGCCCATAGACTGACCCTCAGGAAAAAAATGATTCATTTCAGCAGACCTAGCCTACCACCTCAGACCTGCAAAATCCATCTATGGAGAGGACCACTCAGCAGGCCAGAGAGCTTCTGAGGGGCCGAACTCAGTTTAAGTTTTTGGTACAATACTGTTAGGTTTATTACCTGCCCCTCTGCTGAGGCGCAGCAGGGAGAGGATCATGGGAGGCCGTTAGCTGCAGGAGGCCTGAAGCATCCTGTCCTGTGCCCAGCGTTCCAGCTTCTGAATACGAGCCCCCTCTGCTATGGTCACCCAACATGGCCCAAGAACATAGGTTACCCTTCTGGTGATGCTCAGTTCTCACATCTTAATAAACGTAACACCAAGAATGGGCCTTGTGCCCAGTACAGGAAAGGGTGGAGAAATGAGGCAACTGGCTTCTACCCTCAAGGAGCTGACACTCAGGGTCAGGAAGGCAAGATCTAGACAAATCCCTCACCACACAAGGAGTAAGTGCCAGGGGGCACCTCTGAGGGCAGCATGGATGCAGGCTGGGTTTTAAGGAATGTTCTAAGGCGGGGATTTAGACTGAACGGGATTCAGGTATTTGGAGAAGAGAGGGCAATGGATCTGGGGAACAGTATTCCTCATTCACTTAAACCTTTACAAGGCTCTCCCTCCATAATAACTTCAGGGGCTGCACACAGACACATTCCTTCACCACCCTGCAAAAATTATTAACCCTGTCCTTTTATTCTTTTTCCTGAAGTTAATTAGAGACCAGGGGTGAGATGCCAGTTGAAATGTCAGTCTTGCAGAACCCGTTAATATGTAAAGAACCAGGACCCCCTGGCTGGCACCAGGGTGCGGAGGATAGCACATAAAAACCTCGAGAAGTTTCAAGGTTCACCCAGGTCCTGCTCTAACTGCCACATACTTTGTTAATCTAGATCAGCCGTTCCAAGCTTCCACAGGACAACTCAGCTAGGCCAATGCCCTCCCCTGCCTTCTTGTGGGGCTGCCCTTCTGATAACACAGCCTTGTCTGCTTCAAACTCAGGGACTCCGAGACTGGCTTACTGCGCATCACCAGTCTGATTTCAGGGTTCAGCAAGAACGCTACAGAGAGGTAAACAGCACTTGCCAGGAGCAAGAGGCAGCTAAAGGAAAGAGGTCCGCGGAGAGGTGCCAGCCTGCACTGGCCTTCCACACAGCATGGGTAAGACCAAGGGAATCAACCCTCTCTAGGCACCAGCATCCTCTGAGGGGCTTTCAAAAATTACAAATGCTGAGCCCAACCCGCAGAGATCCCCAGTCCTCGGGTCTGGGGGTGGGAGAGAGCAAACTTATTACAGTAAGAAAGAAAAAAGGCATGGCATGGATCATCCTTGACTATCTCCAGCACAAGAAATCCCAACTCAAGTGGTTTGTCAGTGGATGAGGGGCAAGGGGACAGCTGATCTGGTACCTTGGGCTACTAGCTCCCCTTTGAGGGACACAGGAGTTGGGCTCAGAGGATTACCCAGAAGCTGTATCAAGAGGACAGAAGCTAGAAGCCTGCACCCCTCAGAGTAAAGACTTGGGCGTTTTAGGCAGGGGGAGGGGCGGCAGGCAGACACAACAATCTTAAGCGCAGCTTTGTTATTAATTAAGCAGCAACCCTTAAACCACCCCCCCACCCCAGAAGCACAAAGTAGCAGTCTCATTTTACACTATAATCTGCAGAAGCTAAATGCCCCAAGTTGGAATTGCTTTCATTGGAGTACAGGCCATAAAAAGACCTCCCCCCCCCCCAACCTTGTTTGTTTCTTTTGTTTACAGGAAGAAGAGGGAAGGACGCAGGAAAAATACTTTTGTACATGGATCTTTTGCCTCTGGAACCAAAGATCTGAATCTCCGGACCCAGTAACATATCCCCTACACAGATCCCACCGCCCCCCATATTAGCAGAGTTCAGTGTATGTACTGTCACCAAAGTCACTCACTTTCTTCTATCACGCCCAGGTATGAATGGAGGGTCAACCACGGTCACCACCCGCCTTTCAAAATGAATCACTCATTTTTGGAACCAGTGACAGATCAACAGAACAGGCTGGTCCAGAAAGCAGTTTACATTACCTCCCACCAAGGGTAGCTTTCCTGCTTTCTCGCTTGTGCTAGCTACAGGGTGTGGGTTTGCTTTCTCCCCGCAGAGAACCATCTTCCCCCTCCCATCTTAGATTCATCCATCTGGATTGGAGGAAACGGATTTCAGATGATTGGGCAGGCAGGCAGCAAACCAAGACAGACTCACAAGCCCTGAGGTTAACTTAGGGCCCCCTCCATTACTTAGAAAGATGGCCCCAACTATGTGTGGTCCTAAGGCAAACTTTTAAAGGCAGCTACGGACAAGAGAGGGGGAATTTCTCCAGTTTTAGTGCACACTAGGGGAGGGAAGGGAGGAGCAAAGGAAGAGGCTTCCTAAAGTAACATTTCCGAAAGAGTGTTCTGTAGAAATTGGGCTCATGAATGCTCCCGTGGGGGAGGGAAGAACTCCCTAACTCATCACGCCCGTCCTAAAAGGCTTTGTTACCAACAGTCCACAGGTACTACTTCCCCACCCTCTCCAGAGTCCCAGTGAAAATCAGCATGCTAAAGGTTCTGACGAGTCCCCCAGAGGAGGAAACTATTTTGTGCAAAGGACTACGGAAACACCGTAACTAAGAACTCACCTGCTTCAGAATCGTGCTGTCCACTACGGCGGTATTAGCTGTTGGTGGTTACTGAGCACCTGGAATGTGCTCGGCCAAACCCGACACGGGCTCCGAGTGAAAAATACACGCTGGTTGTCCAAGGCTTAGTCCAGAAATGTAGAAGTATTTCGGCTTTTTATATGGATTATACTTTCAAATGTATTTTGGATAGGAAATTAAACAAAAATGTATTGAAATTAATTTTGCCTGTTTATACTTTAGTGTGGTTACAAGGACATTTAAAATCACCTCTGTGGCTCACATTGTATTTCTACTGGATCGTGCTCCTTTTAGAAAACACTAAGCTAGAGCACAGGCTTGGCAACCCCAGGTATATTCACCTTGGCAATTGCGCCACATTTGTTTTTTCCCTTTAAAGAACGTACGTAAGTCCACCCCAGACTTCGGGAATGGACAAAAACAGCTGAAAACAACATTCTGACCAGTATGCGTAAGCTAGCCCACCTCGCAATATGTAATTCCAAAGGAATGACGGATAGGTTCCCTTTTTTGTCTATCATCCCTGAGATAGTTATGGAAGGACAGCACGGTTTCACTCTGCCTTTCCCTCCACAGCTCTGAGAGGGTATTCCTAAATATCATGCTGAAGTCTGATTATGGTTAGAGTTTGGGAAATGAAAGAAGTATGTGCATCCCGTACAGATGAAGACAAAAGTTACTGCAGAGACTTGCCCACAAAAAGGCTGTTCAAGGCCCACTGGATGATGTATCTTCTGTCCTCTAGTATATTCTGCTATCTTTCACTCACTCCATGACTTTGGATGAACCCATTTCCTGGGAATGGGTAACTGGTGCTTTTCCAAGTATGCACAGAGACTGCATCATTTACTATCTATTACCCTCATCAACTCCTGAAAGGGAGTTGTTAAAACATGACGAGGGAAAAACTAGTAGTGTGAATGGACAAGTAGCCTGCTTTGTGGATCAGCTTCCTTAGTTATAAAATCGAAGTCAACGCCCACCTTACAAAGGAACTGGATGACCAAACAGGGGAAAGCCTAAATGCCCCCCGTGCTGAGTGGCACGGAGGAAAAACGATTTCCCTGGAGACTCTGCTCTGCTCGCTTTCAGTCATCTGTGCCTTAGAGGTAGACACTGGACCTAAAGCTCTAGATTTAAAATTGAGAGGCTAACAAAAATAAAGATAAAAACAAAACCGAGAGGGTATATACGATCAGTTGTTATATGGCAAACAAGATTCCTGAAAGTCCAGAGCATCTAACAGACTATGACAGGAAGTGGGCTTTCCCCTTTCTGGATTTTCTCCTCAGAAACGGTAGCTCGTTAATACTAAGTTTCACGGTTAAGTGGCTTGTGTGTCCAGTTTCCTGGCATCTGAAGGAGAGCAGGCTGGGAATACGTGCACAGAGGGGCCAGTGAAGGGTTTCTCCGGGTTCCCAGGGATCGGCCCTGCTCGGGCAGTGACTGCTCTCCACAGGGTTGGCTGCACTGCAACTTTTCCTGCCCAGTTCCCGTGCCTGGCCCACCTTCAGAGCCGCCAATAAAATCACCTGCTGTCATTAAAGACCTAGGTCTCTCCTTCTTCAGATCGGACATCTCCATTTGTAAAACACAAATGTTTTCTCCCCTTCTCAAACCAGTGGTCTCTTTCCTTTCTCAGTTCTGGATAATTTCTCTATGTCCAATCGTTCTGTCAGCCTGACGGAGGGAACTGAAGGGAGCACTTTTCATATCTGAAATTGTACCTTAGTCTCTGAGTAGCTGAATCTGCTGTTATAATGCCCAAAGTGGCCTAGGTAATGCCAGGCCTATATACTCTCGGACTAAAGTATGCAACAAAGAGAGAAACATTTCCAACAGTCAAGTTCTTGGATGGGTTTCAAACTGATCACAGGTCACAGGAAACTTACAGTCATTGAATGTTTAGGCCCAAGCAAGTCAGAAAATGTCAGTATTTCTCAGTATCTCTGTAAATCAAGTCCATTACCAAGTCATCTACCTCAGTGTTAAGGGGTTGTGGGGTTTAAAGGAGATCACAAGTCTACATGACCCAGAACCCCAATCTGTGCAACAAGGCATGTGAGGGAGACACTGAACCTCTTAGCTCTTGGGACAAATGGACAGTCAGGTGCCCCGGGTCCAACACCTTCAGGCAGCAAGCTCCCTCCACTCTCCAGGCCCCAAATCCTCTTCTTGTTAAACCCCAATTTAAGGGCATTCATACGTGCAAGCCCAAGGCTACCAGAAACTCTGAATGGAAAAGCCATCCATGATCTGCCCCAAGCTTCCCAAACAAAAGTGACCAGTTTCTCCTGTGTACCCCAACACGCCCCCTCTATGCCCCGTCATAACACAGATCCAATGCATCACATTTCTTTCTCTTTTTCGCCCACCGAACTGTGTTCCTTGGACCCCCAGGGCCTATCACATAATACTTAATAATTGTAGTAGAAATAGGAACGTCTAATCAACTAGAACCATGCTCCTCAAACCATGTGCCATTGAGCCGGGATTATGCAAAGCCACAAAATAAACAAGGTGCATCTTCCCAGGGACCAAGCTTAAAACATTTTCCTAAGACTCTAAGAAAGAAGAATACCAGGGCGCCTGGGTGGCTCAGTCGTTAAGCGTCTGCCTTCGGCTCAGGTCATGATTCCAGGGTCCTGGGATCGAGCCCCACATCGGGCTCCCTGCTCAGCAGGAAGCCTGCTTCTCCCTCTCCCACTCCCCCTGCTTGTGTTCCCTCTCTCGCTGTCTCTCTGTCAAAAAATAAATAAAATCTTAAAAAAAAAGAAAAGAAAGAATATCCACACAGAGTTTTAAAAACCCGGTAGTAGTTCTGCAGAAGGTTGGCAGCTTCCAAACTCAGGGCTACACCCCATCCTGCCAGTTTATGTTTCCCATCCTTTCCGTCAGAGGTGCCCCCCAACGCTGAAAAACCCAAGAAGTTCTGGCCTCCACGGGTGCCCTACTTTTTGAGAGGCTTTAAAGGACTGTCACCTCTCTCCCCCTCCTGCTTGTGCACTCCTGTGCTATCTCTAAAATAAATAAATCTTAAAAAAAAAAAAAAAAAACTTTGTCAAGCAAGTCTCAAAGGTCACCAACACCACTTTCTAGGTGAAAACAACCACAGGCTTATTTTGCCAAAATGACTCAAAGTTAAAGCGGAAGCCAGGAAAAGAGCTCTCTTCAATTACTGGCCCAGAACATCACATGACAAAGCCTGTAAGGTGGCATTATATTTTTTAAAAGGCTAAAGTAAGGGACTACAGCTTGTTTAGGTCCAGAGACCCTTTGATCGGAGCACCATCAGAGCAAGCCTCCTCTCAAGCCTCTTTGCTATGCTTGGTTGCCTCAGCCGTAAACCCTTAATGGTTCTAGATAAATACTCACCAGAAGCACCTCTCCGGGGTTCTTCCTTGCGGAAGCTTGAGTTGCACACCTGAGGCCTCTTGAAGGTTAGCACTCCAGCTCCACCTCCCCTCCCGAGAGGGGCTTCCGTACTCCCCTGAAGGGCCCCCAACAGCCCAGAACTTTCTAAACTTTTCTCCACCCCCGCCTGCGGGGCTGCGGGCCCAACGCGGTCCCAAAGAAAGAGCCGAGTGGCAGGACAAACATCTTAAGAGGAAAGCACGATTGAAGAACCAGCGCTCTCCTCCTTCAAGTGCGTTCCCGGGCCGCAGCCAGGACTCTGGGCAGGAGGACACACACACAGACACACACACGTCCCCAGCCCGGAATCCAGGTCCGCACTCACCTTGGCCGACGTTTCTCCGAACAGAGGTCTGTTGTCCAGGCCACTGGTGCCATAGGTCCTGGTGGAAAAGTCCTCCATGTTAGGGTTTTTTCACTCTCGCAGGCCACTCAAAGCTGAACCAGCGTTACCTCCCGAAGGGTCAGGTCCACGACTGCCCACGCCGCGTATTCACCGAGAGCTCATGGCCGAAAGCGCATGGGGGTCGGGGCAGTCCCCGCGGCGGCGGCGGCGGCGGCGGCGGGTGGGCGCTCAGGCCCGGGGGACGCGGCCGCTCCGCCCGAGGCCCGCTGCCCTCCTCATAGCGAGCAGCTGCTGCAGGAAGTGAAAGAAGCACAGCGCGTGGCCGACTCTCCTCGGGACGCCCAGCCCGCGCGGCTCCCACTTCCCCAAATCTCAGCGCTCAGCCCCGCCGGGCGCTGCGCCTCGCACGGCAAATCCGCGACCGCGCGCTCCCGGGGGTCCCCACGATTCCCACCCCTCACCACCGCGTTTCTTTACACGATAGTCTCCCAAGCTTTCTCAGTCTCCTGTTGAGCACCAACGCCTCCACGCTCGGGGGGGGGGGGGGGGTCCAGTGAAGACTTCATGGCAAGCCCCTCACCAAGCCCTCGGCACCTCTCCACCCCTCCAATTCTCGAGCGGCGGGAAAAGTGAAGTTGCCCCAGCCGAGCACTCCGCGGGCCTCTCCCCCAGCGCTGCAGCTGCAGGTTGCAGCCGCGGCCGCGCCAGGCACCTCGGATCCCCTTTCACTTGCCGCATCTACCCGCGTCGCGCTTTCCGCAACTCCCCTCGCTCTCTCCTGCAGGAGCCGCGGCTGGAGCCCGGGCCGGGTCAGAGCAAGAGGAAGAGAAAATCCCGCCTCGGTCGCGCACAGATTGGCCACCCTCCCGGGACCGCCCCGCGCCCGCAGGCCAAACCTCGGCGTCCCCTGCCGCCCTCGCGCTGGGGAGTCCTGGCCGCGCGAGGCTCCGCTGCTCCCGGGCTCACACACCCGCCGGGATCCGGCGCCAAGACTCTGCGGCGCGGGCGAGACGCGCGGAGAAGGAAGCAAGCTTCCGGGCTGGCGGAGAGCGGGCTCGAGGGCCGAGCGCTGGGCTGCGGATCGCCTCTTCTCGGCTCCCCCGGCCGGGAGCCGCGGCCTCCGTCGCAAACTGACTTGGCCCGCCCAGGCGACGTCACCGCCGGGGCAGCCAATCCCGCGGGCCGAGGCGCCGCATTGGCTGCGGAGCTTTATTTCTGGAGGTGCCAGTTTATTCCCGCCGCTGGGCCAGGCTCCCAGGCTGCACGTTTCTCGGCCTTTTAGTAATTAGCGTCCGCGCGAGCCACGTGGGTGAAGAACCGCTCTGAAGATAGCTTTGCCTTTGGCTGGAAACATCTTTAAAACAACCAGCCTGCTTTAACCACGCCAGTCTTGGCACGACTAGGACACAACGGGGGTCACTGACAAATTTGGTTTACGGTTGTTTGTATGTTTGTCTTGTTTTGTTCTGTGATAGGGATCCTGTGGCGCTTAAAGAAACAGTCGGGATGTGACACTGGCAAGGTACTTCTTTGACTTGCACACTCACGCTGTTAGTGATTGTGCTGGCTAAGCATGTTTGCAGCCACAGAGAACGCTTCGTGTGTCAACCTCTTTTCCGGGTGTTAAGAGCATAGAGAACTGGAGGTGGACAGGCCTTAAAGGCACCATAGTGTCACCGCATTTGGAGTCATTAAGTATTAGGGAACAAACGCAACCACGCTAGGTTCGCGGGACACTGCAGCTCCGAGGTTAGAGAGCCCGCGTCGGAATGCTGTAGCCATGTAACATTTAGAGCCCAAGCAAAGATTCCAGGTGGTGTTTTGGCGGTTTAGGTCAAGGGATTAGGACAGGGGATGGATGAAGAACCACAAATCCATCGATTTGAAATTTGCAACACTGAGTAGAGTGAGGTATGGTGTACATCTGATCTACCGGTTATATATTTCATAAATGATTTTTTGTGCAGGATTTTTTGTTTTAACAGGACTGCTACACAGTCCTGCACACAGTTCTGATAGAAGGTTGATGGGCTTCACAAATAACTTCAGTCACATTCAGCCACATTCATTCAACAAATACATTTGAGAGCTGCTCTGGACCAGCCAACCACCAGAGAGGGTAGTCGGGTGATCAGGAAAGAGACAGGTGATATGAGGAATTCTTAGTCTCAGGAAACAAACTGAGGGTTGTTGGAGTGGTGGGGGATGGGAGGGATGGGGTGGCTGGGTGATGGACTTTGGGGAGGGTATGTGCTATGGTGAGCACTGTGAATTGTGTAAGACTGATTACTCACAGACCCGTACCTCTGAAACAAATAACACTGTTAAAAAAAGAAGAAGAAGAAGATAGTAGGAAGGGAAAAATGAAGGGGGGAAATCGGAGGGGGAGATGAACCATGAGAAACTATGGACTCTGAGAAACTGAGGGTTCTAGAGGGGAGTGGGGTGGGGGGATGGGTTAGCCTGGTGATGGGTATTAAAGAGGGCACGTACTGAATGGGGCACTGGGTGTTATACGCAAACAATCATGGAACACTACATCAAAAACTAATGATGTACTGTATGGTGCATAACATAATAAAATTAAATTTAAATAAATTAAATTAAATTAATTTTAAATTAAAGCCAATTAATTTAATTAATTTTAATTAAATTAAAAAAAATTTTAAAAAGGAGAGGCAAGATCCATTGGCTAAGAGCACAAGCTTTGAAGTAGATCATATCTGCCCTCAACCAGTTTTTATTAAAAAAAAAATGTTTAGAGAAGATACCAGACATCTGGCAAACAAATATCCAAATGGTGTTTGTCATAATGGTGAGGAAGGGGTGCTATAGGGAATACACAGGAGGGCACCCACCAGCTTCAGTTGACAGCAATGCTTCCTCAAGGAGGCTTCTAAATCAAGACATTCTTTTCATTTCTCCTTCCCTCCAATTAGAATGGAAGAGACCCCTGTCCATCTCTCCTGTTTTACTTCCCATGCCTCCCACCATCGGGGGGGGTCTCACTATTATGATTATATTTTTTCTACGACAAGCATTTAAGCATGCTCATCTTCAACCATGTTAAAACAAACAAGCAGAGAACTTGCATTAAGCCCATGTCTACCTCTGGCTACCATGCTCTCTTCATACTCTGTGCAACTGTGGTCACCTTCTCTCTCCCCACCCTTCTTTGAAAGCAGAACCTACCTCCCAATGTAAAGGGCAAAAATGCCAGATGTTCACTTGCTGAGAATCCCTTGTAGCTGGGGGTGGGGTATGTGATTGTTAAGGGCAATGAGTCACTAGATCAAGTTGGCTGGGGGTTTTCAGGAGGGTTTCCTCCCTAATAAAAAGAGAGGCAGAAGAGGAGATCTATCCCTTAGATGTTGTCATGTGAGGACGTCATATTTGAAGTTGCTTCTACCATCTCATGACCATGAAGGGTGGCCAAGAGTATCCCAGAGAAGCCAACTAGAGTCTAAATCTGTGAACCACCCACCTCTGGGCTTCTTGTTATATGGTATGTGTGTGTGTGTGTGCGTGTGTGCGTGTGTGTGTGTGTATGGAACAGGAGGGTCTCTATTGTGTAAGTCACTTTTATTTGGGTATTCCCATGCTTACAGCTGAACACACACTGATACGTTTTTAAAGCCAAAATTTCAGTAAAAAGCTCCATATAGATTGTATCCACTTCCTTACCTCCCACATTTGCCTCAGTCACTGGAATCTGCCTTAGCCACACGGCTCCCCCGTGTTTTTCCGTGAATATTCCCATGAGGACTTGGGGCTGATTCCGCAGGTTTTCAGGCCTTCCCCGACATGGCCACTCAGCAGCACTTAGCATTTAAAAATCCTGGAAGTAGGCTGTATGATAGCTCTTCCGTTCTTTCTCTACCCATCTCTTAAATATTATACCCCAGGGCTCTGTTCTTATCCTTTCTCTCTTCTCACTACATGCTTTGCAAGAGCCAGCTCATCTACAGCTGTGGCTTCACTTTCTATCTCTACGCTAATGCCTCCCAAACTTACATGGATAGACTACCGCAATGTGGCGGGAGACATAACTTACGAAGCCATTTTTGAAGTGAAGTAACTCATTCATTTCGTTTATGATTTGTGTTTCTCCTCTTCTGTTGTCTCTCCAGTAAAGTTGTCAGAGCAGTAGCTTGACATTAAAACACTTGGAGTTTTGGAGTACCCTGATGCCTGGGGCCACACCCCAGGCCAGTTACACCCAAATCTCTAAGACAAGGTAGCAATAGTTCTCAAAGCTCCCCCAGATATTTTCTGGTGTACAGCCAGAGAACCACTGGTTTATGGACAGAGCATCGGGCTAGGTAACTGGATCTGGAGTTCCACTGCATATCCTCACTGTCCCATCTGACAAGTCAGTAGCCTAGACTTTGGAGTCCGCACACCTTGGTTTGAATCCTGACTTACACCGTCACTAGATACATGAATTTGAACAAGTTACTTAACCCCTCTGAGCCTCAGTTTTTACTTTTGTAAATAAGATGAAATGAGCAAAACGATACTTGCCCTATAGGGTTTTGTGGGAATTAGATAACATATTTTGAACACTGGACACACAGGCAACACTCTGTAAATATCATGCATCTACTAAAATGAACATAATGAAGACTTGCAAAATGAAAAAAATGCCCATGATTTAATGTTAAAGGGAAAAAATTAAATATAAAGTAGAATCTTTATAGTATACTTGTTTAACATATCTACGCATGTGAACCAAGACTGGGAGGAAACATGAAAACGTAAAAATATGAAAAATACGAAAATCTGGCTGGCTCCGTTGGTGGACCTTATGACTCTTGATCTCAGGGTCTTAAGTTCGAGCCCCACATTGGGGGTAGAGATTACTTAAAAAAATGAATAAAATCTTAAAAAAAGAAAAATATGAAAGCAGAGTTGTTATTTTTAAACCTTTCTCTGTTTTCTGACATGGTTTTTCAGTTCCATGCCTTTGCCAGAAGACAGGAAAACTGGCAATAATGTTTTTGTACTTCCTTATTGCTTTTCTTTCTCTTTTTTTCCTCTTCGTATATGTTCACTGGCATCACATGATCCTTTGATAGCCAAGGGCAACAGGTTTCAGAAACCAAAACTAAAGGTCAGGAGAGGGTGAGGAGAGAAGCAGTGTTCACAGTCCAAGGGTAAGAACAGATTTGAAGGAAAAATTCCTTTATTCCAACACCTGTTCAGTGCAGTGGCTTGCAAAAGGAATAAAGCGGTATACACACAACCTTTGCTGGGGAATAGAATAATATTAATAGCTTCACTTAGGTAGGATCACAGAGCAGAATTTCGAAGAAGTGTGCTTCTCTTCGATCCCAGAGCTCAAAAATGAGAGGAGTGCATGCCTGGTAATTTGTGCCTGTCTTATCGAAACTTATCGGACCTATGTCTCTCTCTTTTTATTTAAGATTTTGTTTATTTATTTGAGAGAGAAAGAGCACAGGCAAGAGAGAAGCAGAAGGAGAGAGACAAGCAGGCTCTGCCCTGAGTGTGGAGCCCGCCACGGGGCAGGATCCCACAACCCCGAGATCATGACCTGAGCGGAAATCAGGAGTCGGAGGCTTAACCGACTGAGCCACCCAGGCGCCTCTAACCGGGAGATGTCTCTCAAATGGGGGGGGGGGGGGGGGGGAGAAGCACACAGCTTCAGAATTCTGCTCTGAGTGCCGCCCTCACAGCCTCACTCGGTGGACACGAGAGGTAAGTGGGAAGAAAGAAGTCAGCTAGCAGAAAGGCGTTAGCACCAATGAAAAGCAATCCGAAGCAAGAGTAAGGGAGCACGTGTCTTCCTCCATCCTGGGGCTAGGTGGCAGGAACTGCTGGGGGCCTTTGCAGGTGCACATAGTTTGAATAGTCTTGTGATAGGAAGATTGATTCACAGATATAATGAATTTAGGCATTGCAACAGATTGTACATATCATTCTGCATGTGCCCCCAAGGGAGATAGGCTCTGTGGACTTGCTGACAAAATTTTTTGAATCAAAGTATGCAAGATTTCTACACGTGCTGTGCAAACCAGGCAGGTGTGGTGAAAGAACCAGCTTAGTCATTGGGATTCTGGTCTGGTGAGCTTAGGAGAGTCAGCTTGGGCACCAGTTTCCATACCTGTAAATGGAAA